GGGGAAGCCAGCACGAGCCGACATACCTGGTAGCTCCTGATGATGGCCTGTACGGCCAGATGGTCGTCGATGGTCTTGGAGTCGGGCGCAGCGCCAGAGACGGCGGCTCCACCAAAGTTGAAGGCCGTCAACGGCAGAGTGTTGGCCTGCACGGGCGCCAAGTTGGGGGGGCTGACATAGCTGTTGCTGCGGAAGTACGCATCCCAGGACTGCAAATACGAAGAGTAATCGATAAGCAAAGTTTAACGAAGCTTTACTAATTGGTTTGTGCACTTTTAATTAAAGAAATCAGATTTAATTTAACATTTACGATGACGAATATATTAATTATTTCTCTTTACGCGGAAATGAATTAAATAAAACAAAGCAAACCCCTTTCGAATTACTCGTTTAAAGTTGAATCACACCCGGAATTAATTTCTCCCTGATTACAATTACTTACGGTGTGCACGGAGGTGGGATCCCTCAGCCAGGCGTTGTACATCTCCTCCACATAGGAGGCGGTGCTGCCGTTGGCGAATGGCTCGGCTGCCGCGGAGTTGTAGGTGCGCACAGCGGCGGCTGCAGTGACCTTGGCCATCTGGAAAAGGGTTACCAGTTTTCAGTTAACTACACTTTTGGTAAAGATCTCTGATCAAAAGACTCACCTGCTTGCTGGTGTTGCTCTTGAGGAGCCATGTGGCAAAATTCTTGTGCGCCATCGGCGACAACGCCAGGCTGAAGGCTGTGTGGGCTCTATGCATTTTGTAGCTTTACAAAATAGAACTGAAAGCAAAGGAAGAGGGACTTCAGTTAGTGGGTTTGGGGATCTTATCTAGTGATTAATCGATGGCGCTTTGTTGACAAACAAGCCACGTAGGAGATAGCACACCCGCCCCCTAACAACCTGACCCTCTCGGCTGCTGTAAAACCGATTAGATTAGACCCAGAAGTCTTTACGTCATGGCCGCTTTTTCGGTGTTTTAACTGTGTCATCGCCGATCTACTGCCAGCTAATTGAAGCTTGTTGCCAACCCAGCGGGAGCCAGTTATGAAATTCCCGCACGAAACGAGTTAACAATGAATGTGTGGCCAGCGGTGTGGCGGTGGCAAATTTACATACGTCTAAAGCCTGACTAGACCAGACCGTATGGTTAGGCGGATCGCCAAGGTACACACGTGATGCCGAACGTCCCATGACGTCAAACTAGCCGCTCGTCTTTTTGATAATCAGCCAAGAAATTGCGGAGATACTTTGGCCCCCAAAAAAATAATAAAATGGTGAAATGGGGCTTATTTTTTTGGGGCTAAGAGAGAGTAGGTAGTCTCTCTCAGCAGCTGCTTTTTGCGCAGTTTTTTCATTTCGTCTTAATCAGTTGTGAATATTTGCTGGTTAAATAAAAGCCTTGGACTTTTGTTTGCCAAATACGAATCTCGGTGAGCATCCACCTGTGTTTTTTGGGAACGAACGAGTTTGCCTCGGGGGAGATAACGTCAAGTGTGAATGTCCCGGGGTCGGAGTAATAAATTCCTGGCGGTCTGTGACTAAACGCAGAACCCTCTAGACGCCGGAGTCCAGGTGATAAGAAGATGGTGCTGCGTAGAACCGGCCTCCGTTGCCGATCATGCCACGACAGCAGTTCCAGCGGAATTTGTCAATTATTAATCAAATTATTCCTGATAAGGACGCGCGTGCGGATGTCGTAATTGAATCGCTATCTTAGGCAAAAGTCGTGCAAAAACAGTATATAAATTGAAATTCGGAAAGGCAGTGTCTGTGGCTGGGAATTAATGGGAAAGACCGGGAAGAGGCGTGGCCAGGTCACATGTCTTATCGGCAAACACATGCTGATGGCGCTGGCCAGACGATCCGAATCAAATGATTACAAAACACTGGCCCCCAAAGCCCAGACCTCCCCCCAAAAAAAAGGAAAGGAAGCAATTGGAGCGGCTAACCGGTTTGGAGCGGTCAAAGTTAGGCATTTGAATGTGCAGTTTGGGGGTCGCTTTTCGGCTCGGTTCGGTAATAGTTACAGATACATTTACAGCTGCAGTCACAGCTACAGGCTACAGCTGAATAGATAATTCAATTGAGCCGCCCAGACACTGTTTCTCTCAGTGTTATCTATCTGTTTGCTTGTTTTGTGCTGGCGCTTTTCACAAACTGCTTTCCTTGCAATTATATTCTGCCCGACGTCGCCGCCGCTGTTACGAAAACAGATTACATAAGTGCAAAAAATAATAAAACAGACTCGCGTGAGAGCAGCGAAATTATTAGAACGCTCAGATGATGAAGCTAATTAGTGTGAAATAGGACGGCGAGCGGCCCGCTTCCATTTGGAGCGTGTCTGGAAAAATCCATTGAAGTATTGTCGATATTTTCGGGGATGGAATGGTGACTAGCCGGCCGATTATACACTGCACGGCACTGACTGTGTTGAATAATGTATAGGTGCGTATACTATAGCGCATACGATTGCTCCAAAAAAGCAAGACCAACCGAATATATGTACTCGACGCACTCGTATCCGTATCTCGCAGATACGCGGCTAACGTTTGTTCGGGCTGAGTGCTGCGCGTCGACTGAAGCGAATGCGAGCGGAATGCAAAGGCTGCCACCGTCGCCGCCGTCGAGAGTGAAATACAAAATTTAGAAATCGAAAATTTGCTCTTCATGAGCGGCGGCCACAAGAGGAGGAGCAGTGTGTGTTGTGGGGAAAGCGAACGGAGAACAGAGAGTGTGTGTGATAAAAAACACACAAAGCTGACTGTGGCACATGACAACTCGGCGTTGTATCTTTATCTTCAGGCAAAAGGGGGTTTGGTCTTGGCGCTGAGAGAGACAGAAAGACCAAGGCGGACCTGAGTGTTATCAGGTATATTATGTATGCCAAACTGTCCTTCCTCCGGCTATCTGGCCTATCCGCCTCTCTCTTTGTATCTTTACCCGAGTCTTGCGTATTTATAGCCGAATTTGTTTACAACAAACCCAAAGTCCGTTCGTCAGCCGGCTGACTGTTTGAACAGATGCCGCCCACACAGGCGAAAAGAGGCAGAGACGGTGACACAGAGAGGTAAAAAAGGTAATACGATCAATAATCAATGAATTAAAATTTGATGTTTCTTAAAACTTTTTTAAAGGTCAGTAGATAACACTTAAAATTGAAATATACGACAAAAATTAATTTAAAAAATTATTAAATTAATTTTGTTAAAGAGTGAATCTAGTAATAAGACTGACTAAGTATTCATTTTATAGAAATTTTGTGTCTTTAAAGAATGAGCACTTTAAAATAATCTTAAAAAAAAATCTATAAATAAATTAAAGTTTTGCAAATTTTACTTCTATTGGCCGCATAAGCTTTTTTCTTTCAGTGTACTAAATGCGTCAAGTACAATGAGTGTATGTATATCGATTACCTTTCCGCTAATCAATAAACTTTTCAAGTTCACACGCAAGCCAAATTAATTTATCAATTTACCTCTAAAAGGGATGAAAATTTTGAGAAAAGCAAAGATGATCGAAACGGGAAATACCCTAGCTTTCTGGTAGTATATGTACTACTGATATATAATTTGTTATAGCTACAGATTGCCTAACTAGCTTTATTTATTTGAGTAAATACCCTATGAGTAACGCCACAAGGCTTCTGGAAAAGCTGAGAAGATATTGATAATGCCTCTCAAAACGAGGTTAAATATTAATTGAATCAAGAATAGTATACTTTTCTAGGAATATTATACATTTAGAAAAAAAAGAAAAACAAAGAAGCTTTTTTTTTAATCTCAAAAAATAAAAAAATAATCTAATTTATATTTCCAAAAAGGGTATTAAAAAGTTAACGAAGGCCAAGTTTTAAAGGTTGAGGTCTCGGGTTAGCCGCTCCAAAAACCTGCAACTGCATTTCATTGAAAACCCTTGACGAGCCCCCAAGAAGAGGAAGAGGAAGAAGAGAGGCGCAACCACATGAGGTAGTTGAAGCGTGTCCCAAAGGCGGGATGCGGATACGTCTACTTTTTCCCGATCTGGGGCCAGGGCAGCCGGCTTATCATAGGTTGCGAGTGCTCCACATTTATCTGCAAAAACTAGTTCTCCTTAGCGAGCGGATAAAAATGCGGCAGACAATGCGGCCGCGCGCTTTCGTCGAGTCTCTTTTTCATTTTTGATTGATGATTCATTTGGGGGGGTCGGAGAAAAAGCACACGCGGCACAGTCGTCAATTGCGTCATCGTTGCGAGTTGTTAGTTAATTTTACAGCGGCAACTGTGACGTATTCGTTGTTGCTTGTTTTGCATTGCGAAATTTCACTTTTCAGCTGGCGACAGGCGCAAGCGCTTTTCCGACCACCGAGCGCCGCCCACCTGCACTTTTCGCATTATATAAGCGCACACAGTCCTTGGGTAATTTCCCTGTGCGGAAAACCTTGGAAAACTCAATATTCGAGAGCTGACAAGTTGCCACAGCAAGACGAAAGCGAAGCACGCGGTGGTGTGGCACTTATTGGCCGTGGGGAATCCATGGCTATTCCAGGAACTCCACATGACCGAAAAGCGGGGTTGAATCTGGGCCACAAGAAAATCACTAGATTTGACGGTGTTCAGGGGAAAACAACACTAGCACTTGGTTGCCTTGGTTACCTAGTACTTTTTAAAATTTTACCGCACTAAATTCACTTAAAACTAGCTTTTAAGTTTAAATATTTACTTTTGCCGAAAATAGGGATGTGAAAAATATAACAAAATCGATATTTTTTCTTTTGCCTCAATATCGATACTGCGATACTTTTTTGTTGATTTTTCTTATCGATATCAATGTTTTTGTAACGATAGAGCTTGGTGGCTAACTTGACTTAAAAAGTTATCGGCTTTAGCTGTAACTTGAACCAAACTTATCCGTTGTTATCTATCGATTTTCAAACTTTTCATTAATTTGCTATTATATATATTTTATAGAATATAATGTACATTTTGTAGGTCAGTAGGCAATTAAAAGAATTTTTATAAAATAATATAATAAAAATCATATATTACAAGGCATTAGATTAAATTCCTTTAAGGAAATATATGGAAACATTAATTAGTAATTTTAGCAAAAATATTATAAAATCGCCAGGATAACTGCCTCAATTTTTTGATAAGTCCTTTTTAACTTTTAATATAAATACTTTCTCTTTAATATTTTTTTTTATAAATATTAAGATAATAACTTTAACTATAGCTCTATCAGGTTGTCTAAAAACGGTAAAAAAAATAAATAAAATAAAAATAATATGCTCACATTTCTCTTTCACTGTACACATCCCAGTTTATTTTTAAATAATATCCAAAGGCTGAAATATTGTTATATCTTAACCTTGTTTTTCCGATTCAATCGTAAAAATGTAATTGAGACACTCTCCAACTCGAAATAAACTTGTACTAAACATTTTATTGCAACACAAACACACACATACTGCGACTAACAACTAACGACTAATTAGTATCTGCTGTATTGATCCAGACAGTAGCCGGTAATTTGGTCGGATATGCAATCGAAGACATCAAATGCCAGATCGCAGCTTTCACCTTTTTGGGGCAGCTCCTTGCGATTGACTCTATACCGGACGGTCATTGTCCTGAGACAAAGGTTCACGGCCCGCAAAGTGGCCATAAAGAAGCCATGCTCGTCAACGCCCTCGGAGTAGAAGTGGACCAATCCGTCAAGCGTGGGCCAGCCTTTGTGGTCTATAGCGTTGTTCCTAGCATAAACGCAGTGCAGCAGGCACTGTAAAAAAATTATATTAATATTATATAAATAATATTATTAAAATAAAAGTATATAAAAAACCAGGGATCGTAACAGTTATAATTTTTATAATACAAATTATGAAATAAGAGTTATTTTACAATTATATAGAAAAAATAGGAAATTAATTCTTATTATTCAAGTTTTATAAAAAAGTTGTAGAATAATTATTATTTTTCAATTTGTATATAAAAGTTGATTTATAACAATTATTTTCAATTGGTCTTTAATCAATATGGGTCGTAAACGAGAAGTAATTGCCCGCGATTTTTTTATTTTCGTCCGCGATAATACAGTGTCTAGCTAAGGCCACGACTCAACCACTACGTGCTGCAGATACCTAGGCTCTCCAGTTCTGGCATCGCTAGAAGATGCCTCCAGGAGAAAGCCAGGCGAACTCCTTGCCTTTGCGAAAAACACCTTGATATTCAAGGATCTCGAAACCCGCATAAATAGTCTCTAGGTCCATCCAGGAGTTTCCCCGGATAGCTATGGGCCATATTCGAGGGCCGTCCGGTATACCCTACCCTAACCTAAATTAACCGGAGCTGTTGTCAAGGTATTTTAGTATCCTTGATTGTTTGGGGAATGTAAATGCATTACGTATACGCATATTTGTCCACATGCAATAACCACAATATATACATCAAACGAAAGGTATTAAAGCGTAGATTAATTACATATATAAATCTTTAAGATATACCGCTCCGTTGGAAAGTTATTGCGATTCAATTTTTATTTTCAATTTTTAAAATAAAAATTGGAGAATAACAGTTATTTTCAATTTTTAAAATAAAAATTGGAGAATAATTTTAATTTTCAATTATTATTTTAAAAATTGAAAATAATTGTTATAAATCAACTTTTATATACAAATTGAAAAATAATAATTATTCTACAACTTTTTTATTAATATTTAAAAATAAGAGTTAAAGCGCAATTAAAAAATAAAAATTGGTTATAAAAGTTTATTTTATTTTTGAGAACTCCTTCAAAAATTATGGTATACCTAAATATTTCATCTTTCCAGCTCAATTTTTTGGTAGTAACTTTTATTTTACTCATAACTCTTATTTGCAATCCCTGTAAAAAACAGAACAAATTCCTAGAGGCAGAAGTTCCTAAACACATTACCTAAAACTTTACGTTTGAACATACAATTGTTCTGGAAGATATCACCCTTTTTCAGAATAATATTATTTGAAAATGTATGGTCAATTAAAAAGAAAATGTATCAAATAATACCAGTATTTTCCCCTGTGTACTCGGCAGAGGGCTAACTTTTTATTCAATTTTCTGATGCATAAAGCCAGCTAATGTGTACTAAGTGCCGCCCATAAAGTGCGCTTTTCAGCCATCAAATTCAGCTTTGCTGGAGGTGTGCGAAAAATCTCCGGCGTGTGAGTTTTGAATGCATCTGAAAAACTGAAAATGCAATCGCATCTGCTGCCTGCCGGAGCTTTTCTTTCAATTGTGTCTAATAACCCTGACTTTAGGCTTTGTCGGATGAGGCGGAGCCGGGGGGCTCAGCCCAGCCGATTGTTTCTTGGGCTGCCATTGAACTTAATTGAGCGTTGGTTTTGCATTTCATTAACACGGGAAGAAGATCTATCTGCCATCTGCTGGAAATCCAGAGTGCACTTACCCCCGCTATGCGTTTGTCCTCCAGGGGCACCAGAGTGGGATGATATATACCCGAGCTGGCCACATCCAGGCGTCGAATGCTCCTCATTAGCCTGGCCACATGGCGGTGGGGCTCGGGCTCATCGTAGACTATATACTCGTAGTTGCTGATGTTAACTGGGCCACTGGACGAAGGAGGAGGAGGGTGATCAGCTGCTGAGCCGTCAGGAGCAGATGGCCAAATGAAGTCGATGGAGTCATCGTTGGGATCAATGGGCGGCTGTTCGTGGGCCACCTGCTCCTTGATTATCTCATAGGCCTCTGTTGGAGATTACTATAGTTCTTACTTGGCTTAGCTACCCCTAGAGCCTCTCACCGTGGACCAGCTTGTTCCTGATCTCATCCTGGCACTCCCCTATGACAGATTCTACCTTCCTGGCCGTTCGGGGGGGATTCAGGCAGCGCTGCTTCTTCGTCTCGAAGCGTATTATATATTCCAGCGCCTCGATCGATGCGATAACCACACTCGAGATGTATATAAGTTGTGTAATCTTCATGGCTGCTCCGATTAATTGGATACTGCACGCCTGATCGAACCGATCCTAACGCCTGGACTGCTGTCACGCGAATGTCCCCCAAGAAAGGCCCCCGAAATGAAATCGAAAGCATTTTCACTTTTGCAGCCACCGGTGCCCGTGCGCATTTCCAGTTTCGCTCAATGGGTATGTGGTTCAATGGCAAATGCAACTATGAGTGCCACAACTGGTTGCACATTTCCCATGCGTGCGGTCCGTTAGAAACTTGTCCTTAAAGCCCCCCGACCACATGCCAGTATGCATGCACATGGTCATTGGCATCGCATATAGCTGGATGATCCGATCGGTTCGCATTAGGTTTCCACCTATTGTCTCTGCGGTTCAGTTAGGAACGCACTCGCTTCGATTGAGCGCGCAATTAACCAATAGAGGGCTCGACAAACTCTTCCGCCTTCTGACCAATTTGCATATGGCCAAAAAAAATAGAGGGGAAAAAAAGAGGGCCATAAAGATTATCAAAGGCGGTAGTGGAGATGGACTGGGCTGGGCCATAAACTATAACCGAAATCAAACTCAGCGAAGCGATTCCCCGCCCAGAACACAGAGACCAGAACCCAGAAGCACTAGAAGAACCCCTAGAGAGCCCCCAGAACAATGGCCAATAACTGTACTTGGAAGTGGTCATCGTCTCCACACTAATTATGCCTCATTAAAGTGCCGAAGATCCTAGGCGGAAATTGTCATAAACTCTCTGGCCTCTAGTCGCTTGTCTCCTTTCAGCTGTACTTGGTAGTTGGTACTTGGTTCTTGGTACTTGATGCCTGGGTAATTGCCTTTAATTGCACGCCGCTATTGCGGCTAAGACACTGACCCAGACTCACTCCGGATCGAATCCATAATAGGCCCGGCTAACGGTCGTCGCGGTTAATGGAAAATTGAATTTGAAAATGCCTCCCATAATCTCTCCTCTCCCAGCTGAAGTTCAATGTTCAGTGGCCAGTTCTTGGAGAGGGAGGAGGAGTAGGTGAAGGAGTAGGAGCAGGAGCAGGAGGCATTGTCAACAGGAAGCTTGCCTCCAGAACAAGAACAACGTGAGCTAATTGACAGACAGCTACACAGGCACGATTTCCCATTTTCCATTTTCCGTTCGCCATTTCCCCTCGGGAACCAGTAGGGGAGATTCTCGAAAACAAGGAGCCTCCAGTGGGGCCACAAAATAAACAACAAGAAGCGAGTGGCTCCAGAGTCTGGAGTGCAGCAGCAGCAGCAACACTTGCGTGTCCGTCATTAGAACAAATTCTCTCACCTGAACTGCTAGCCTCCCCCTCCTCTCTCACCTGTAACCTTACCGCGCTGCTCCCCCCTCCGGGTTGGCTTGTAACGCAATTTGCACACAAATGCTGCTGTTTCATCTTCGTGGCTTGCTGTTTTTTCGGTGGGTGGTCAGGTGAGACAAGTGGCAAGTGGCAAGCACCACTACCACCATGGAGGCACCACCACCGAACCGCCGACGAACTGCCTCGCCTGAGAATCGTATTTAAATACGAAGGTCTAACGCTGGATCGCATCAGTCGTCGTCGTCGCGTTGTTCTAGCCGCTTGCTCATCGTCCACAAGTCGCAGCTTAGCTCGGGATCTCAGTTCGGTCACAGACTCCGATCGTATCGCATTGGATTAGAGATTTATTTGAAGAACAGGATGTCCGTTTGATTGTCGCTAAACCTCTGACTGGATTGAAACAAATGCGATTTCAAGATGCAGCTGCATCTCCTCTGGATACTGTGCGCTCTCCTGGGATACCTTGCGGATCCAACGAGCGCTGAAATCGAATACAACACCATCAACGATGACGGATCTTTTCAGTTTCGGTACAAGGATGTGTGCTTAATGATTGTGTGAAGTCTTAAGAATGTTCTTAAAGGACTTAACTAAACAGTGATTAAAAAAGTTAAAGTTTAAAAGTTGAGACTGAAAAATAGTAAACAGAATCTAACCAATATTACCTGGTTGTTGCTAGGCAATTTCTTTACAAATTAAAATGTATTATTTGAGTCTTGATATTTATGGATTAAAGACAAGTAGAGTACAGACTACATTTTGCTTAAACTAGTTTTCAAATTAGTTGTAAATTCAAGTCTAAAGAAACAGTGGTTTGTGGTAAATATTAATATTTAAAGTAATCTCGAAGGTCGCCGAACTTTAAGGATGATAACTTAAAGAGGGATTACATTTAACTTGCATGTTTCTCTCCAAGGACTATCAAGTTTGAAAGTTTTAATAATTAATGTACATTTTATAAACTGTTAAAATATTATTTGAAGACCATAAAGGTCTCTTTTATTTAATAATTCCTTAAAAAAACTTTCTCTTGTTTAAAAAATAACAAATTTAAATTGATACTGATTAGAAAATTTGGTCTTTACTAGTTAAAAACGTTCTTTAAAAATAAATGTTTATTTCCCAAGGCGAAAATGGGTTGGTAATTCTAAAATATTAAAATTTTTAAAAATACAATACGCAGCTATAGTAATTTAATTCCATAGCTCCATTTTATTTAAATTAACTAAAATCACTTAGAGATCTGATTAAAATCAAATATCATTCACTTCAGCTACAGCTATATATACTATACCTATTTTTAAGTTAATTAGTAACTAGCTATGAGCTCATTTGGTGCTTTTGGCAACATTGGCTAAAACCTCCCTCATCCATTCTTCAATGGAATGCCAAAACCATAAAAAGGGAACATCTCAATTACAGTTTCTTAGCAGGCATGGGTCATAAATCTAACAAATCATCTAATCGGTCAATGATGTTCGGAGGGTCTCCGTCTCAGTCTCACCATCACAGTCGAGCAAATTTGAGATTTTTAACACCTCTTTAACGCCTTAACGTTTTGCAACCACAAACACAGACACACTCATAGCCACCACCATAACATAACAATACCAATAACCCGCTTCCGACAATCTTTCCTCCTCTCCATTCCGCACGCATGGGCCAACGCAATTACTTGTGGTTCGATGGCAACTCCTCCTCCGACAGACATGCAAATGATGACATTGGTGGCTACTATCACAGCGCCTCCGGCACTCCGGACAACACGGTGCGAGGTCGCTACGGTTCGCGGAGTCCGGCGAGCGGCCAGATCGAGGAGACCGTCTACACGGCCGGACCACGTGGGTGAGTAATGTAATCGAAAGACGCCCAGACCAGTCCAAATGGGCAAAGTGCGGTGGTACACTGGGAAAAACAGATGGTTGCATTCAATCAGGTTTTTGTAATTACATTTAATTGCAAACAAACGAAAGTAGAAAATTTTAATTAAAAAATGACTCTTTTAAAATAAATTCAAAAGCGATAATTTCTAAAAAGGATATACAAAAATCGATATCGAAGAGCAACCCTACCCAAGAAGAGGCCGACCATCTCTAGATATCTGACAGCTTTCTTTGATAACACTAGCAACTTACTTAATTCAGTCTTTCTTCAGGAGGCGCATTGAAAGGAACTTTTCTTGCTTCCTACTTTTTAATTTATTTTCGGTTTTATTTAGTTTTTTTTTTATTTTTATTTGTACATTTTCTTATTTTTGTACACAACAGTTCAAGCCTTCAACAAGAGTCCTTCATTTTTGTTTAGCTTCTTGTTTATTTTTATTTCGTTTTTTCTTCAGTTTTTTTTAGGCTCATTTAAATCAATTTTTCTTGTAATTTTTTCATTTATGTTCGTTTTAAATTGAGTGTTTTCATTTGTAATTTTTTTCCTATTTTTTTTTTACAATAAATTTTACAACGGGAGGTCTTTAAAGAGGAGTCCTTTTCCTTTTGACTCATTAATGGCAATTTTCTGGTGTTTTTACTTGTTAATTTAATTATTTATTTTGTTTAGTTTGCTTTTATTATATTTGTTCTTTTTTTTTTACAACAAATTTTACTTAAGCCTACGGGAGGTTCCTTAGGGGAGACTTCATCCTTGGAACTATTGAAAGTAACTTTTTTTGTTTTTTAGATTTTTATTTATTTCCTTTTTTATTTAGTTCTTTATTTGTACTCTTTTCATTTTTTACTACAAAATTTCACACTTTTCTTTAACAGTAGGTTGAAGAAGTAGCCGTGTATCATTTCTCCGAAAATGGTGTTAGACTTCGTCTTCGAGTCTTGAAAGTTAGTTTTCCGAACATATAACAAGACTAGTTTGGCTCGTTTACGCTATTTTTGGGCATTTATTTAAGGAAAAATTGAAGTACTGTGTTTTCCAACAGAGTTTAATAAGAAATTTTATTTATTCCTTTGAATTTAATTTAAAAAATTTGATTTCATCTGTTAAGTTTTGATTTTTTTATAAAATTATTAGGAATGAATGAATGAATTGGCTTTACTGTCACAGGCCCTCAAACTGTCTCATTTTTAAGAGGAATTTTGATTTGTTGTTTTTGTTATGTTTATTTTTATACCCTTGCAGGGTATTATAATTTCAGTCAGAAGTTTGCAACGCAGTGAAGGAGACGTTTCCGACCCTATAAAGTATATATATTCATGATCAGCATCAACAGCCGAGTCGATATAGCCATGTCCGTCTGTCCGTCTGTCCGTCTGTCCGTCTGTCCGTCTGTCCGTCTGTCTGTTTCTACGCAAACTAGTCCCTCAGTTTTAAAGCTATCTGAATGAAACTTTGCATATAGTCTTCTATATACTCTCACTGCTATATATGTCGGAACGGGCCGGATCGGACGACTATATCATATAGCTGCCATACAAATGTTCGATAAATTTTTCGAAAAAAAAATTATAACTTTGCTGTTTTTTAAAATTTTTGCACCATTTTTTAGATATGGCCATTCTATATTATTTCTGAATTTTGGTAAAAATTTTATGAAAATCGGACGTCTATATCTTATAGCTGCCATAGAAACGATCGGGAAATTAATAGGAAACAAATTATAACTTCGTTGTTTTTCAACGTATTTTCATCTACTCTGAGATATAAGCTTATTTTATTATTCTAGAATTTTGGTATAAATTTCATGAAAATCGGACAACTATATCATATAGCGGCCATAGGAGCGATCGGTAGATGTAGAGAAAATGTAAAGGTGTGAATGTAAAACTGTAACTGTCAAACTGTAAACATAATAAGTATAGTTGAAATGTAATGAAATAATATCTGCAAGGGTATACAAACTTCGGCGTGCCGAAGTTAGCTTCCTTTCTTGTTTTATTTAGTTATTATTAAATTTATTATGAAAAAATGGCTTCACAGCTCCTTCAAACTGGCTCATCTTGGACTTGTTTGAATGACTTTTTCGAGTGTATACACTCGCATATGAAAGGCAGCCAAGAGGAAGTGGTAGCACAAAGTGAGTTATCTTCCCCCGATGTCAGAGTTGAGCTCATATATCAGCGGTTGGCGGCAGGCGGCGGCCACTGAAGCGAAACTCGACTCTAAAAGTGGCGGCTCCAAGTCGAAGCCGTTCTAACACATTGGACGCTTTTTTGCGGCGTTGCCTAAACGTTTTTCCATTACCGCCACTCGGCTACTGTTGTTTTTTGCAATCTCCGGTAAACTGGGGGAAACAAAACAAAACAAAAAGCTGTTAACAAATTGACTGGCCTGGGAGTTCGGGGCAAAAAACCAAATCTACAGCCACTTTGGCTTGCTCGCAGGGCCTGCAGATGCTCAGCGATAGCGGTGTGATTCCAAATGGGGGGATCGTTCCCCGAGATGTGGGGTAATCTGAGTAACGACGTGCCGGGCCCAGATCGGATCTAAATTCGGTACAAACGATATATGCGGAATTGCAGGGCGAATCCGCTTCCGCTGGGAGGGTTAACGCAACTCATTGTGATCGGCAGCTAATTAATCTCTCCCCATTCCCATACAGCTTTCGCGCGAACGGACCGAAGATTCATCGGAAAATGGATCTGGCCCAGTATCCGGTGCTGCCCCGGGGAAGTCCCGACGATCCGCTGGCCGATCCCTTCGACGATCCCTCCTACAGCTTCAGTTTTCGCACGCCGGACCAGTCGCGCAGCGAGGAGAATGACTCTGGCAATAGGATCAGGGGTGAGCTGGGGGATCGGACATCAGATCACTATCTTATCTTATATATATTCCCATCTTCTTCAGGCCTCTACTCCTATCTAGACGACGTGGGCGAGCGTCACAGTGTTCGCTATGCCGCTGGAGCCGGCACCGGCTTCGAGATCTCCAATGCCGTGCCAGACTCGCCCTCCAGCGTTGCCTACTCCAGTCCCTTGTACAAGTCGCATCCCAAGACCCGCGGCAAGATGGCCGTGCAGCGTGGTCCCGCGGGCAGCTACAAGCTAATCGCTTCTGGCCCGGATCATCGGAGAGCAGAGAGTCGTGCTCCGGATGGCCTAGTGCGGGGCACGTACTCCTTCCTGGACGACAAGGGCGTGCAGCGGACAGTGGAGTACATAGCGGGAGCAGGCATCGGCTACCGGGTGGTGCACAACCGCATTGGTCCCGGCACCCACATCAATCCCTCTGTGGCCGATTTCCGCCTGGCGGATCCAGACTTCCGCCTGGCCAATGACTTTGGACGGGGCGCAGGTGGTGGCTTGGGTCCCAAGCCAGGCGGTGGTGGTTCTAGTGTGCCCAGTGGGTCAGGTGGATCGGTTGGAGGTGGAGGCAGGGGTCGCACTCCTGGCAGGACAGGTGGCACGGATTACCTAAAGCCCAGTGGCGGGGGTGGAGGCAGGGATCAGGGCGTGGGAGATGCTGGGCCGGGGGATAATGAGCTCGGTTCCAGTGGTGACAATGGAGAGGATGACGTCGGGCTCAGCAGCAGCTCCAGCGGCTCCACCACCGTTCACGGCAAGGAGGACCGCAGGGGATATCCAGCAGGCAGCTCCCAGCGGGGCAGCACCAGATATGGTGCCGATGGCAGTAACTCGGAGAGAGGTGGTAGCAGCTCCACGAAGATCAATGCAAGTGGCACGAGAAACAGGAACCGCTTCAGTGGCGGAAACAGAGGCAGTGGCTCCTCCGAGAGGGGCGGACCTGGAGCCGCTGGCCCTGGACCAGGTGGCGTGAGAGGAGGCGGGGGCAGCAGTCGTCGTGGAGGTGGAACCTTTAGCTCCTCCGAGGGCGACTCTGGCCTGGGCTACCTGCCGCCCTCAGGTGGCGGGGGATCAGGCACTAGTGCCATCAGCGGACCCGGCGACAACTACAACCTCAACAACGACGATGTGGGCAGTTCGCTGCCACCGCTGATCACCGCCAATCACCGCATCCTGGAGATCGATCGGGATAGGGAGTGGGTCCAGAGGCACCGCGACTCCACCGTCATCAAGAACGTGGGCAAGTGGTATGTGGGCCTGCCGCCCGGCCAGAGTGTCCGTGCCCATGTCCAGAACATAGACATAGTGCCGCTGGGCGGAAGGATCGGACTCTCCCCATCGGAGGCGCTGCGTCAGGACGAGATCGCCGAGCTGAGTGCCTCCAAGGAGCACTGAGGGAACCCCGTGTAGCTTGTAGTGCTTAGCTCTAAGTGATCAATGTTGGGCAACCGAAACTGGGTTGACTCCACGTGGAAACTGTAACAGTATTTGAAGCGGAATACAATCTATAAATGTATCTGTAAAATGTATCTTTAGCTGATTGTGGTCATGTGATATCCGTGGAGTCCAAGTTGAGCAGGTTGGGCTGAAGATTGCGGTTTTCTCAAGTCTGCATATAACCATGGGTCTCCGCCTGCCTAGAGTTTAGTTTGCCTTTGAGGCTGGCGACAAGATGCTGCTGCTGCTCTGGATTGGATTGCTAGGCGTTTCCTGGGCTCGAGGAGCTCAGGTTTACATGGAGTTCAATGGACACCGGTACTCGTACAACACGGATGGCGATCGCCTGGACCGGAGTGTCCACCTTCCCAACTATGAAGCCACGGCTGCAAGTGCTTCTCCCTTAAACTCCTTGAGTTCCCTGCAGTTTGTGCAGCAGGCACTTCAAAACAGGCAGCCTAGGATCTCCCACCTGGACACATCCTCTCTAACTGACGGTTATCTAACATCTCCTGCTCCTGGCATTCCTCATCCCGTGCAGGGCCGCCGGAACTTTGACTTCAGCACCCACCAGATGGCACATGCCCAGCACACGGATGAGGCGGGTAATGTCTTGGGCAAGTACTCTTATTACGACGAGGCTGGCTACCACGAGCTGAGCTATAAGGCGGGCGCTGGCATCGGTTTCGTGGTCATGGGTGGCAACTTGGCCAAGGCCACCCACTCCGCCGCCGCTGAGCCGCACTCGGAAATCGCAATCGGAAACGGAATCCAAGCAAATGCCTTGACAAGCCTGCAAGAGTTGCATAAATATCGCGGTTACGCGTAAATAAACAAATTAGTTCGAACTACTTGCGTTTGCTTCTTCTACTTGGGTGTTGTGTCATTGAGTTGGAACGGTTTGGAGATTTAAAACAGTATGTCAGCTGTCATGTCGGTAGAACTACGTGATCGGGAAGTAAAATCCATCTAACTGCAGTCTATTAATGTTAAAGAATGACGGGGCTTAAGGTTGTTTAGAGTGTTTTTATAGAGTGTAAAGTAAGCGTGTCAAAAGTATTATCAAAGGAAGATTCTTTCAAGATGTCTTTTAAGTTGGTGGAATAATTCACACTGGATTACGATTGTAAATAAGATAATATTTGTAGGAAAGCTGGGAAGGTAAAGGTTAATTATACGTGGATCTTATGGAGCTTAGTCTGTCGTCTGGTGATGATTTGTGAAAGTTGGAGCAATCTTTATTTATTGCAGAAATTTCACTAAATCTCACTTTTGGACGTTTAAAATAACTTCATATAAGACATTAGCTCAGGCTAAAAGCTTAAGTGAAGACTTATCAGTCATATCTGGACTATTTTATTGTTATTATAATTTTCAGAGAATGGAACAATACCAGTCAATTAAGTGGAATTATATTGAATTTAAAAAGAACTCTCTACATTGAAAATCGCGGAACGATTGTTATTGATGCGCTGAACTAGAATTCGGCTGCAGAAACTATCCTCAACGTCAGTTTGTTTTAGGTTTTTCATCTTAAAAGTGTAAAAAATAAGGTCTTGCGTGCTTTAGAGGTGATGTAACTTTCAATACGACTTAAAAATCAGTTTTTAAAATATGGGAAAATCTGTATGGATCTTCAATATATCGGCTTTTGAATTTATATATTTTTTTTTATATATTTTTCTCCATATATTTTGTGAAATTCAACATTTTCAGATATATATGGAAAAATATTGATTAAATTCATGACCAGTAATAATATTTCCAAATTAAAACAAATTAGTTTTAAAAACAAAAACAGTTCTTTTAGATGCCGTTATTTAATATAAATTCAAGAGACGATATTCATGGAACCAATAATAATATTCCCAAATTTTAAAGAACAAGAACAGTTCTTTAAGATGCCGTAAATGTTTGAAATTCAAAACGTATAGATGTTAAAGCACTTAAAAAGTACATTAATCCCTTATTAAGTTTAAATATTATGAAAACCTGAGACCAGGTTTGAATTCAGCTTATGAAAAACTTTCGAAAAAGTATATACTCTGGTTTATGGTTCCAAAAAGCTGTCGACCTGGGTAATCTAAACTTAATGCAAATTTAAAATAAATTACAAGCCTAAGAAGGCTGTGTGGTATATTTAATTTATTTCAAAATTAGTTAAAAATTGAGGAAAGGGAAACATTGGCAGTTGACGAGCGTAAATGATTGTAATAGCTTCAATTGTTTGTGGCGCGTGCTTTGGCTTAAGACAAACCCCTACGATTTATGCATTTTATAATGCCTAATTGGTTTTCCGCTCATAAAAATGGTCAGTGAGTCGGTCGGTGCTGGTGCTGGTGCATCCCAAAGCCCAAATTGAGTCAGCTCTGGTTTTTATTTATTTTTATTTTGGGCCATTTCTTGTCGGAAAGCGACCAAAAAATAATACCAACATTTGAAATGTTCGACGCGTGCGCGCACTTGCCAAATAATTTGAATCGAACGGAAAGCCTTGGCGGGTGCCTCGTGGCCTAAATAAAAAATATATTATTTACCAGGCCAAAACAAGGAAAAGCCCAAGTCCGAATAATTTAATGGCCAAAAATATGATTCAGGCCTCTACCAACGAAAGTTTCACTGCCGCAATTGGGTTTGATGTCACGAGAGATCTAAGCGGTTAATTTACCTTAAACAAGTTCCTACGCACTCCGCAACTTTCTTCGGAGAATGCACTAAAAGAATGTACTGAAGAGCAGTAAAAACCAGAGCCAGCTGACATAGATTCTATTAGGGCTCGCGGAGAAACCACTGGCCACGTTCCCAGCGCTGCTGGTATCAATGCCTCCCCAGCTGGGAACGAGCAGCCGCGGCGGTGCATAATTGGGTTAGCCTGGCAGCAGCAGAACGGCCTGCATTGGAACCACAAATTACGGGGGAGGGGCACAGTCCCAGGTGCCAGTTAGCTGTTGTTTCAGCCAGATAAACAACGGTTCTGCTTGGGATTCTGCCTGCTCCGGCGAAGGTCAGGCTTAATTGGCCCAGGCCCGGGTCTAGGCCTAGGGCCTAGCGAACAAACGACATCCCATCGGCAGTCCCGTTCGCCAGCATTTATAAATAGGTCTCAAGGTCTCCGAGTCCCCAGCTCCAGCTGCTGCTCCTCCACTACTCCTCCTCCTCCTCTGCTGCGGTTCGATTTATCGCCTTTTGATGGCTGCATTCCAATTGTGTATCTGGTGGTGCGTGTGGCGCATTTGGGTTTCGGTTTGGGTTTACAACGTGTTGCTGCTAATTTCGTATGCTCCCTCCGGCCGAAACCATAAATCTTGTGGCAATTTTATAGATGCCTGGCTGCCTGCGTGTGCCACAAAGGTCGCTCCGCCCAGTCGCAATCCTGGTTAATCAAGAAATATGCATTATTATTGCCCGCACTTAAGCCTGCCCCCATGGCCCTCTGCAATTTCAGTAGCTGGCAGGCTGGCGCATCTGAAAAATCCAATAAGGGAATAAATTGCAATCGGATCAGGGGGGCATATGGGGGCGTGTCTCCCCCACACTGTGTTGAGTAAAATGAATGGTTCTGGGCTAATAAAGGTTCTGCTTCTGACACACAAAACAAATGACTTGGAGCACGAACGCGGGCAGGAAATCAATTCAAATAAAGACTTTGAGTCAGAGAGAAATTCCCTATGTCTGTAATTTAATTTGTGATTTAAATTCAGAAATAGCTTAGGGGCTCAGTCGTAATCCTGACATCTGCTGATACCCGAGAAGTGTGTGAAGTCTTCCCGCCGAATTGCCTGTCAGAATCGGAGTCGAAAGAACACGAAGAACCCGATCTGCGCGCAAAAAACTTTCTAAAGCGTTTCAGGCAAACATTTTAATTGAATTGCCCAAACAGCCCAGCACAATTCATTCATAAGTCTCTTAACATTTTGGCTTATGTCATGTTTGAGATTCGTTCCGAGCTGATTACTTGCTCGCTTCCCACACGCCTTTCGGTTCTACTCGGCACTTGTAATGTTCAGTCCGGCAGCCACACTCAATCAAGCCAATAAACGGCCAATTAATCAACGTCACCTCAGTGATTCTGGTGTTCTAGGTGCTGTCTTAGAAGGCAAAAAAAACAATAGACAGTAGCGTGAAGAAGCCCCCTGTCAGCACAACGTCTAACAAGTTTCAGTTCACGCAAAATAAAAAGTGCGAACAAATATTTCCCATATGCAAAACCATTTATTTAGCCCTGGGGGTGGAAGGGGAGATTCCAATCTACGAAATCCTAGACTTGGAAGCCTGAATATCAATTGGCACTGGGACCCAGAGCTGGTACCCATAGAGATGCACGAGCCCAGATAAAAGGCCGGGCCAAGGCAAAGCCCTCGGCTTGCTCTTCCACTCTCTTCCACTCTTTCGCTTCGCTTGGCTTCGAAAGCCCAATTCTCTTACACACCTGATTCGGGCCCTGTTTTCTTGGCCATTTCTCTGCCCGCCCCGGTTGTCGTTTGCATCGCTAATGGAAATGTTATAAACAGAGGCGCTGGGCCCGGCCACCACTCAGTTCATCTTCAGTCGTCGTCTGGCTCGCTGGCTCTTGGTTCTTGAGTGGTAGGAGGTCCAGTTCCAGTCCTAGACCCAGAGTGTGTGTGACAAAAAATCTTAAAAAAAACAATAAAGAAGAAATATAAACAAGGACAGACCTGAAACAATCGTAAATTTAAAGCTCAGCAGGATTGGCCTGTGGTGAAACCGTGTGTGTGCGACATTAAGTGTGTTCTGCCGGGAAAGATATATACATAAGCCCTCGTGTCACTCATTCCGTTTCTCGTTCGCAGTTCAAGGATACATTTACAAAGTCAAGGCGAGGATTGGTTAAGAATTTAACGGAACACAGGCCCCACAATGCGCTTCTTTGTTGTAAGTAAAAACGAAAAGAATATTAATTCTTGAAACACTTTACACACTCGGGTGGGAATTCGAAACGAAACTAGTTTATGCCTGACCGCAATTAATCATTTATTGCTCTCTGTGCTGCCGTTGAACTCATTAAGTCGTCAACTGGCCCAGGTTCGTGCCTTAAGTCTTTCGTTTCTTTCACTTCTGAATTGAAATGAACTTTCACTAAGCGACATTTTTGGGCTTTAGCTTGGTTCTTGCCTCGATTCTTGGCCAAGGAAATTAGCCTTAATTATGCTCTGTGCCATATGCAAATATTATTAATTTGGCTAAAATCTTTTTTTGGGACTTATAATAATCAGAAAGCAATTTGTATGCTAAGAGGTGGGTATATTAGGATTCTTAGTCATGGCAAAAGCTTACAGAAGCTTTGTATTCAACTTTGTTTCCTTTATAAAAGAGTAAGCCTTTTGACTGAGGCTTAAAAGGGGCCTAAAAGTGAAAACCTTTTGGGTGGAACGTGACAAAATTCTAGCCCCTCCTCAAATATAAAAAAGTGAGAATGAATCATTGATACCCTTGCCCAGGTTATTCCTTGCATTATTCATTAAGCTTTACACGCCCTTAAAAGTCCAAATGCGTCAAAACCTGGCTCAAAAGGAACCATTCAATTCAATTATGGCCAAAACCCATACAAACACTTCCAATGAAAAGCCCAAAAATTAATTATGACTCGAAGAACATAAAATTAATATGCCGCAAACGTAACGAAATCATGCGTGGGCTAACAAATGGCAATTAAAGCCTTCTCCCCGAGCAGAACAATCGAATCTAATTGTGTGGGGGCTCCAAGAACTCGAACCTGAGTTCCATAAACTAGAAGTGCATTGATATGTATGTTTCTTTCGATTCCGATGGCGGTTCATAAATTAATAAATTAATGGTCGTTATCCCACACGTCCCAGCCCTGAAGTCCATCAATCTTGGTTCAATTAGCCTCAACGATTTCTGGAATACCATTGGGAACCAGAGAGACACCTGAGCCCGACCCGACCAGACCCACTTACATCTTGTTTGAGAACATAAAATGCTGCGCTTAAACTTTGCATTCGAAGCCATTAACCCAGTTTATTTTTGGACAAGCCACACCCGATCCGGGGTCTCGTTATGGCCATTCGGAACCAATACTATAGTATAATAAATAAATAAGGCAAACAGACAAAAGAAAGCGGACATAAATACATCTCGCGGGATGCAAGAGTCTTCTTGCAAATCAATGACAACCCAGGTTCGACAGCCTCTCGGCGGCCAGAACGCTTTTCGAGTTACGTTTTGGCCCGGAATCGTAACAGAGCCGCCTAGAGGTTCAGGTCAATGACACAACACGAGCCCCAGCTTCGGCTTCGGCTTTGGCTACAGCTTCAGCTCCAGCTGGCTTTGAGTTCCCGGCTTAGTGACATTTCTGCCGGTGATAGATGGGCGTTCTGGGCGATGCTGGCTAACGGTTGCGTCAATATTGACTTTGCCAAATGCCCCCGATCGGATCCCCGAATCCCCGGGGGAAACCAGACGCGTGGAGCTGGCGAGAGTGAGTCAAATATTTGCCGATCGTGAGGTTCTTGACAATCATGTTGGGTACTTCAGGTATATTCTGTGGTAGAGCCAGCTCTGGTTCTTTTTCTGGCTCTGTCTCTGGGCTGGGCTTTTACTTTTCGAAGAAATTATGCAAATGCTGAGCGGTGACAGCTCCTTTCAGCAATGATAGACTTTCGCGAGGGAGGTGACCGCATTCCAGGCTGTTGCTTTATGGTATCTATTACGGCATTGGAATACTGAGATTTATGATCTGAAACATAACAGAATCAAGTTGATTTCTTTTATAAAAATGTCTTTAATTACATTTATGGTTTAGAAAGCTTTAGCTAAGTTAGCTTCTTCTATGTTTCTTAAAGAATAATCAATAACCTTGTGTATCTTCCAGCTCTCCACGCTCCTGCTGGCCTCTTTGGCCCTCTGCCAGGCCCAGTCCGCTGGCGTCGAGTAAGTACTGCCATAATTAGTCCCAATCCTAAGACCGATTAACCCTTTAAGTAACACCCTTGCCTGCCTGTGACCAGTGACCAGTGACTGTGTCAACGCTAATGCTCATTCCAAGTAGAAGTTGATGCGCTCGCCTAGAACTTTGTGACTAAAACTTAAAGATCCGACTTGTGACTAACCCTGAATCATTGCCCCTTTAAGAACCTAATACCAAACCTGAACTTGCATTAGCATTAGCCCTTAGAAGCTAGAGAGACCACCAAAAAAACAACCCACTTTCGTTTGCAGAATTCAGAGGCAGCGCCTGGTCAAGTTTCCCGAGGAGTTCGAGGCCAGTGCAGCGCCTCCCGCCTCGGAGAAAGCGGACGAGGCCAAGCGCATCCTCGAGCAGATAGCCAAGGTGAACGAGGCCTTCGGTTATGTGAAGAAGCAGCCGGAGCAGCCCAAGCTGCCGCCGATCCTCGACTCCAGCCAGTACCTGTTTCCCAAGCCAGCACAGCAGCCCTTCCACGCCCATCAGCACCACTTTTCCGGAAGCAATGGTCAGACCCTGCTCGAGCCCTCAATTCGCGCCGTGAAGCTCACAAGGAATGTGGCCCCAGTGAACTACAATGTGCCGCCTAGATTGCGACAGGGGCAGGATAATGCCCAATCCAAGGAGCCGGAGAAGAAGCAGGAAGAACAAAAGGAGCAGCTTTATTTCCGACCCAACCAAGTGGAGCTACCCAAGCCCAGTACGCCGCAGGAGGCCCAACAGCTGCCCGCCCACTTTGTGATTCCCGTGCACCTCTACAAGCTGAACAAGGAGCAGTATCTCAAGGAGCACGCTCCCCAGGAGTACCGGGTCAAGGGGTACAAGATCGTGGGCGATGTGGATAGCTTCTATGGCAAGGCCAAGGCTGCAAAGGCCAAGCAGAGCAAGACCACGCCCAAGTACCATCTCTTCTTCCTGCCCCGCGAACTGGCCCTTAACGAGGATGGAACTCCCAAGAGGGGTAACTCTACCACAACAACAACCACACGGTCTCCTGCTTCCCCTTTGAGCTTCAAGGACTCCCGCGAGAAGCTGATGCACAAGCCCCAGAAGATTCAGCCCAGCTTGGCTCCGGAACAGATCAACCTGAACTCGGTGAATCGCAAGAAAGTTGGCTCCACAGCGAAGCCGGTGCGTTTGAGTGGCAAGGAAGCCGAACAGCAGGGATCGGTATCGGGATCAGTATCAGGATCTATTAAGGCTACATCTGCTCCTGTTGCTCTCAGCTCAACCTTGCCACCTTCCGGCGGTCTTCTGCCCAACCACAATCGCTTGAATCCCTTCCGCATGCCCGGAATGAACATCGCCGAGATGCAGAACCAAACCTCGACGGCCATCAAGAATGCCTTCCAGAATATATTCAAGCTGCCATTCCGACCACCGATGGCATCTTCGCCAGGAACGGGTCCCGTCATTGTGGGCAGTATTCCACAGAAGAATCAGGGCCTCGATTCCATGGACTACAAGTGGGACGATGACAACGAGGGCGGCGGCGATGGCATGTCGGATGATCTGGACACCGTGGAGAACACAGCGGCCGAGCTGCAGGACAGCAGTGCCTCCTCAGAGAAGCTCTTGTTCCCGCACAGGACGCACAACCTGGCTCATGCTATTGGCCAGGTGGCCACCGCCCAGCAGAGCACCCAAAAGCAGGCACTCCGCGAGGGAGGAATCATCATTCAGCGGCTGAAGGTGCGCAAGGGTGGCATTGCGATCGCGGGACCAGGAGGCGTGGCTACCGCTGGCAGTGGCGGCACGGCGATTGTGGGTCCTGGAGGCTATGCTCTCACCCATCCGCGCAGCCTAACCATCGCGGGACCAGGGGCCAAGGTGATCTCGATACCGGCCAATGTGGATCTGAAGGACGCGCTGGCTCGCACCGATCTGGAGGCGAGGAGTTTTCCGCAGGAGGGCAGGGTGGTGGCCACAGGACCGACGGTCTACTATGCTCCTCCCACGGCGACCATGGAGGAGGAGGAGGAGCAGCAGGAGCAGGGGGGGTTTTGAGTCTGAGGCTTGACCAGATTAGTTAGGAACCGTAGTTGGTATTGTCTAGTGTTCTAATAAATGTTTGTATTTCCCAAATCTCCGTGCTTTGTGCTTTCATCTGTAGATGTATATATTTACTATAACATCCTGGTGACTAAACCTCATGAATCCCCACCTCCTGGCATGCCATATTAACCCATTAATCCGATCTGCTTCAATATCTTCCCACAAACTAACCCCCTTTTTGCTGTAAATATTATCGGACTAACCGGCGGCTCTCTCTCCACCATCTTCCTCCCTATGCTTTCCCCTAAACATTATCCTAACCCAAGTGCCTACTGGCGCACCACCAACCTCGAGGCCTGGCCACCGGAGGCCCATGGAAAGCTGCTCCAGGGATCCCAGCTCACGCCCTACGGCGCCTTCCAGCCCGTGCTGCTGAATGCGCCCATCTATGCGGCCCCTCTGGCGTATGTGCTGCAACCCACCACGATCCCGGCAGCCCCCTCAGCCGATGCTACAACCGCCAATCCCACCTCCAACAAGGAAAGCTTAGCCGATGACAGCTCCAGCGAGCTGGAGAAGCCGGAAAAGTTGCAAGAGCTGCCGGCAGCAGAGAAGACGCGAACCAGCGGCGATCTCAAAAGCGATTCGGGTCTCCGCTCGGCGATCAGCAAGATAAATCCCGACTATGTGATCGAGGAGATCGTCTCCGTGCCCGGCAAGCTTGTGATCTCTACCTCCTCCTCGGGAGAACCGCTCCGCTCTGGCAATCTCCGCTCTGCCAAGTTTTCCAAGAAGATTGCTCCTCAGAAGCTAAGACAGCAGAAGGTGAATGCACGGACTCCCCCAAAAGTGGAGGCCACGGGAAGGACTAGCACCAATGCTGCCAACTTCCCGCAGATTCCCTTCGGCACCTACTTCCTTCCATATCAGGCTGGAAAGGTCCAGGGACGCAAGCAGGCGGCCCTTATCCTGGAGCCTCACTCCAAGGCGGTGGTGGGAAACGGTGGCACCGCCATCTCCACACCCATCTCGAAGGCGTATCTGAAGAAGGGCGTGCCCACGAATGTCTACTTCAATCCGGAGTCGGTGGCCATTGCAGGTGTGGGTGGCAAGGCGCACGCCACAGCGGATCTGGAGCTGGATCTGTTCACATAGAGGAGCAGCACCTGCCGAGAGGTCAACTAAGTTAACATAAAACCCATTTTCAGTGACTGATTTCTTAGCTGGATTGTGAGGTATTAGGATTTACTTTGATTCTTTACTAATTTGAAATTATTGAAATATTAAAATAAGATCTTAAGTTTTTGGAAATCTATTTAGTTTGCTCTTACAGATCACTTAGGTCTATATTTTTGCCTTAATTAAAAGGTAGAGAGGTTGAATTTATATTTTAAACTAATTATTTGAAATTCTCTAAAAGAAAGAGTTCCAATTTATCGAATTTGTTTTGATATGCGATTACAGTCATTCAAAAAAAAGTCTTGTATAATGAATAATATAATGTTTGTTAATGTATAAATAACTTAAATCCTAATCAACAACAATCCATTTAAGAAATCAAATCCGGAAATTACATCCTATTTTATAGCAAAAACCCAAGTGAAGCTCATCCGAATGGGTAGTTCCTTGCTCCCAGCTCCCCATCATGTTCCTATGTTAAGAACAGAGGCCCTTAAGAACGTGTCATTTCGTAGATTGTAAATAAAGTTAAACGTAAACTGTACAGCTTCCGCCTTTGGGTCACCGAGTAGTCCGCTAATCCCCTGTAGATATTCCGATGCTTTCGCCACATCCCTTCTCCCAGCTTTCTCCAGGCAATCCCCGACCCTCCAATGCACTCTCTCTATATAAATACATCTATATGAACCCCAACAAGCAGACACAGATCGAGGGCGGCTCCGCTGGTCTTCGAGGAGCATCCCTACTACGGCGGCCTGAGGGGTCAACTCCTCCAGCTGCGTCCGCAGCGGGACGGCAGTGTGGGCAGCTTCATCCTGCAGCGCCAGCAGCCGCAGGTCAGGGCTGTGCCCAGGGATGCTGACGACACCATCACCATCTCGGCGGCCAGCATATCGGCCATTGCCGATGGAAGTGCAGGAACCAGCAGCACCAGCTCTAGCTCAATCTCGGCCAGCGCCAGTGATTTCAACCGAATCCAGCTGGCCGCCGCTCGCCTGGTGGCCATTCAGGAGTTGGCCAAGCGGAAGGGCTCTTTTAGCGAGGAGGACAACAAGGTCTATGCTAGTAGCCTGCTGGAACTTGGTCAGGCCGCCCAGAGCTTGGCTATGCTCCAGCAAACCGGTCAAATCAAGGACTTCAGTGTTCTGCTGCAGCCCGATCTCTTTGCCATTCCCCAGAAGCAACCCTCGAACTTTGGTTTGGAGGCCAGCAGCGGCAACAATCCGGCGGACCAGAAGATCGACGAGCAGAAGCTGGACGAGGTCACCGAGCAGCAGTTCTCGCCGGACGAGCAGTTCCTGCCGCCCAACAGCGAGGATCCCTATGAGGATGTCAACGACAGCGTATCCGTTATGGCACCCAAGAAGGATGCCGCCGTGGCAGAGGCCAAGCCAGTGGGTGAGTTTCAAAGAGAACTTTAATTTATGAATATGAAATACATATTTTATATCCTTTAGGTCTTTCGATTGCCGGTGAGGGCGGTGTAGCCTCCTCCAAGCCAAATGCCGTGGCCCTTTCCGGTCGGAATGGCTTGGCCGTTGCCTCGCCCAAGGCCACCGCCATCGCTGGCGTTTCACCGGAGGAGGCGGCTGCCTTTAGCATCTCGCTGCCCACTCGCAACCAGCTGGTAATCAAGAGTCCCAACTCGGCTGCGGAGAAGGCCAGCGATGACTACGACTATAATGATGTGCCTTTAACTCTGGCCCGCTTTCCCTTGACCCGCGAAACCCCTCAGCAGCTCGTCCCTGTTCGCATTTCTGGAGGAGATGCTCTTGTAGACAGATGGCGCACCGCCATTGCCGAGGATTATGCCGCCCGGCAGGCTCAAGCCAAGGTGGCCATGGCCAGGGCTCCACCAACACCCTTCATAAGGATGGCCCCGAAGCGACGCCTGCACTCGGAATAAGGATCGGACCAGGATAATGCCCGCTTTAACGCATTGAGATTCATAGTATACGTTGTACAACATTTTGTGTGCCAGCTACCGAATTGCCAATAAAAATTATATATTTATATGCAAACATTGATTATAAAAATCTATTTTTAAATACTGTTGTTATTTCTATAAATAACAAATCCCTATAAGTAACAAGTTCCCCTAAGTATCGAATCCAATTAAAATCTGTAAGCGACACTAAACAACATTGCCCAGCATCCCGAGAGAGGCCATTGAACTGGAAGTATCCATCGCTTGTCATCGGAGACGATCAGAAACAGCCAACATTTATGGCCAAGATCTTGTAGACTGTCACAGAGAGACAGGACCAGGAGGCGATGCATCTAATTGCTGCGGGAAGTGATTATAGTTTATAACGAAAATACATTTATTTATGCGATTGCCGACTGAATGCAAGCATGTGCAAATCTTGATTAATCTTTTCCGCCAGGCCAGGCGGCATGGAAATAAATTATCTAAGCGGGGAGGGGATCTGTGTGCCTGTGCCTGCGCCTGTGCCTATGCCCGGCCAGAACGCATTCAATTTGCACCTGAACCAGTTGGCCGCGTCAATGCGGCTTCAATGCAATCTCCCAAGCTACGCTTGACTTCTATTACGCGGCAGGTTTAACAAACTCGAGTGGCTTTAAGGCCTCAGAACTTGGCCGAGACCGAGACCAAGACCGCATCTCCGTTGACCATCTGCCATCTGCAACAGCGAACCTGAAACCAGTACCAGTACCAGTACTTGTACCACAGTTTATCTGCAGCCAGCTCCTCCTTTTGGCCATCGGCCATTCCCTTCCTCCTCGGATGGCTGTTGGAAGCTGGGCATTTCCAGTTCTATCAGTTCTTCTTCGAGGGGAGCTCCAAGCTCTTTGTTCTTGGGATAGGTCAGGGCGAGGGGCCAGGGTCCATGGTCGCACATTATAAAAGGCCATGGCCAGGCAGCGTTGGCCACCAGTTTCCTTGAAGTGGTCGCCGTGTCAACACTGAAGACTGAAGCCACGCTGCGAAGACGAAGACTGCTGTGCCAAGACTGTCTAGTGATAATTTAGATTCTTCTCTTCTCGAGGGGATCGAGCGGATCGTGTGGCCATCCCAAGAGCTCTGTGTCGACTCGAATTACCTGCCTAGATTTGGGAAAGAAGTGAAAGGCCAACTCAGCCACAACTAAAAGGTAAGTCTGCCTTCTGAATTGTTCCCAATTTGGGTTCTTAGTTCACATTTACGTTCGTTTCGGGTCGAGAAAGTTATCAAGTCTAGGCTTGGGTCTGATTGCAAGGTTAATTTCAGCTGGTTTTAGTAGCTCTTAAATTCCTGTTACGGTGTCACAAAAGAAAGGTTATTATTAAGAGCGTAAAACAAGCTTTAATTAACATTTATAAGACAAAAAAGAGACTACTCTGGTCCATTAAATTACGAACAAGAAAGAATATTTGACAAATAGTTAATTTAATAGAACAAATTATGAATATATAAACGAAGTGAATGAGTTTTGCAATATTAATATAGATACAAAAGGGATTGAAAAAATTATGATAGCATTAATATATTATGTTTACTACATATTATTTATTAAAAATAAAATAGAATCCCATAGAAATCATCATAAAATTTAAATATTATTACGCTGCTGTTGAACTTTTTAAAACATTAACAAATATTAATAGGATTATGGCTAGCACAAAACTATTTTAATTTAATAATTTTATATATTCTTAAGAAAACAGGTGAAACAAAGATTTAACCATTAAGTTATTAAAAAAAATTACATTTGTGTTCGAGTACATAAAAGTTCTAGCAGAAATAGCTAAGCATATTGCTTTTAAAACCATTTTAAATATTAATTACATTAGTTATTCTCAAAGTTATTTGATAATTATATTTAATAAAGCTTTTGATTAATACAAAATAATTTCTGCTAATTTAAAATGCATCCCATATGAGCGAAAACTCCATCTAGAATTTTCTTAGGCCGTCCCAAGTGAGCAATAAACGAAAGACTTAGGCAGCAAACTTGACTCGCACTTAGACCGCACAAAGAACATTCTGCGGAGTGTGGTTGGGGTTCCATGGGGACAACAAACTTGACTATCAAGTACCGATTTAAGCCATAAAGCTGCTCCCAGTCATTAGCCAGTATCTACACTAGAAGTGCTTGCCGAAGAAGCTCCAATGGCCGGGGGCCAATCAATTGCAAACCGGTTGATAGCCACTCGATCCATGTATAATAGTGTACACTCGTTGCGAGGAGCATCCTGTCCGGCCAGCGAACATGCAACATGCAACATGCAATTACACATGGACGCACACAGGCGCGCCGAATAACGTTAAATTTAGAATGGACTTTGGTGCGCTGGCAGGAGCGTGGCTAAAAATAACGCCGCGACTAGACCAGTTTGTCGGGAAAGTTACACCAAGAATAAAATATGATAATTTTATTACAGACACTGGCTTAGAGGTTCTTAAAAGGAACCCTCTCGAAATTGAACTGTTAACATTGACTTTGTATTTCAAGTTTATTTAACTTATCAGTTAGTTGTAAATTTAATTTAGGTTTAGAAATCCTAAAGAAACACTAATTTAATTTAAATAAATTATTAAATATATACATATTAACAAAAATCACCACAAAATTAGTTGAAAAATATGTATTTCTATTAAAATTATATTTTTCTTGATTACAATAATGTGTAATTTATAATAATAGGAACTAGAGTTTTTCTAAAATTTATATACTAGATCTTAACTAAGTCAAAAATTAAGCAATTTCCTTTTGGAAAGCCTTTTCCGATTTGGTTTTTATTAGGTTAATTAAATCAGCAGATTGGGTTTAAATTGAAAAACAATTTCAACCACGGTTGTAACTTCATTTAAATTTAAAAATATTGAGTAACATTTTTTCTAATATTTTTATTAAATCTGATTATATTTCCTAATATGTTCTTCAAGTATTTCTTACCAAATCTTTATTGATACATTTTAAAAACCCCTTCCAATTATTCCTCCTCCTTCCCCTTACAGAATGTTCCTTATAGCGGCCTTTTGCTTGGCCCTGGCAGCGGCGGGTGGCCAGGCCAGGCCCCTGGAGCCCTCGGCGCAGCACATAGTGATCGTGACCCCGCAGGCGCAGGTCCATCTGGAGCCAGCCCTCCGCTATGTCCATGGCCTGTCCCCACTGGCTCGTGTGGCCTCGCCGCATCATCATGAGGAAACCATTGTGTATGTGCCGGCCGGAGCTGCTGCCCAGGTGGTGCCAGTGCTGGATGCAGTGGGCTCGGGTCGGGCTGGCGGGGCAGCCAGTCAGCCGGAAACGAAGCAGTGGGAGAACCCTGCGGAGATCATTAACCAGATCCAGCAGGCCTCCATGCAGGGCGTTGAGATTGCGAGCGGGCAGTTGAGCGAGGCAGCCGCATCTGCAGCTTCGGCCGGAGCAGGTTTCTTCCCGGCACTGTTCCCTCCACCAGGCTCCAAGAAGGAAGAGCCACTGCAGCAGGGACTGAAGACTGAGAAGATTGAGCTGATTGAGACGCCGGCCAATACCCAGCCCCTGATTGCCACCGAAGCTCGGCACTTCTACACCATTCCGCAGGTCTATCACACACCAGTGGTGGATGTGGTGCACGCTCCCGTCTACTCCTGGCCCATTCCCGCCATTCGGGCCCGCAGCATCCAGGAACCCGAGTTGGAGCAGCAACAGCAGGAGCAGCAGCAACAGCAGGCGGCGGCTGAACCGGCTTTGAAGCAGACTTTGAAGGCGGAACCGGAGTTACAGGCGGAGATCCAGCCGGAGCCGCAGCCCCAGGCCCTGTTGAAGGAGCAGCCTCTGCTGAAGGAGCAGCCATTGCCGAAGGAGCAGCCACTGCTAAAGGAGCAGCCTTTGTTGAAGGAGCAGCCTCTGCTGAAGGAGCAGCCGCTGGAGCAGCCTGCCCAGGATCAGCCAAAACCGATCATCGCCGCGGCCAGCGAGCAAAAGTCCGAGTTCGCCGGCCGTCTCCTGGAGAGCAATGCCATCAAGCAGGAGCTGCAGGGAGCCGAAATTGCCAAGGAGCAGTTGAAGGAAGAGCGTGAGTACCCTAAAGGAAATTGTCCATACATTATTTTTAAGAACCACTTGATTCCCCTACAGCGGCCAAGGCCCAGCTTCCAGAGGAGCCGCTGATTAAGGCTATTCCCGCCGCTGAGCCGCTGCTGACGAAGACCATTCCGGCCGAGCCGATCCAGGCAGAGCAGCCAAAGCAGGAACAGATCCAGCAGATTCAGCCGGCGCAGCCTGCCGAGACCATCGCCGATGCCATTTTGCCGCAGGCTTGAAGCCTGGGAACCAGAACCAGAACTCTGAATCTCTGAAACTCACTCATCCCTTTGGGCAGCTTTGGTTCTTCGACTGACTCTCATCGGTGGCCCGGCGCTTAAGCGGACCGGGCCACGGGGTAACCCTCATCCTCGACCAGCCACAACAGTACATTTAATTACTAACAACAGACACACACGCATCCACACACATTTTCCATTTTCCAGCCATTAATTAACACAGAAGCGAAACGCGAAAAAGACATTCATTCATTCATGCATAGTTATCATCACGAGACACGTTCGTATTCATCATCATCATTACATATTCATTAACCATAACATTGAAAACGTAAAACAGAACAATAAAAAAGTGAATGTAAAATGTAGCAAGATGGGCGATTGAAATTCTGGAATATCTGGATGGGAGGGAAATTCTTGGGAAAGTCATTATAATGACTGTAGAACTTTTATCAACAGTCATAAAAGTGTAAGTTATTTGATAGAGGTTTTATGGGATATCTTGAGGAGAAAATAAAAAAGGAAATTATACTTAGCCGTTTTAATGATTTAAAAAGCTCTTATTTATTGATTTGTTGAAAAGATTTATTTCGTGAAATAAGTTAGTTATAATCGTTAAGCTGTAAAACAGTAAATATAATTTGAATTTTTATACCCTTGCAGGGTATTATAATTTCAGTCAGAAGTTTGCAACGCAGTGAAGGAGACGTTTCCGACCCTATAAAGTATATATATTCTTGATCAGCATCAACAGCCGAGTCGATCTAGCCATGTTCGTCTGTCCGTCTGTCCACCTGTCCGTTTCTACGCAAACTAGTCTCTCAGTTTTAAAGCTATCTAAATGAAACTTTGCATATAGTCTTCTATATACTCTCACTGCTATATATGTCGGGCCGGATCGGACGACTATATCATATAGCTGCCATACAAATGTTCGATAAATTTTTAGAAAAATAATTATAACTTTGCTGTTTTTAAACATTTTTGCATTTTTTAGATATGGCCATTTTATATTATTTCAGAATTTTGGTAAAAATTTTATGAAAATCGGACGACTATATGATATAGCTGAACGATCGGGAAATTAATAGAAATACAATTATAGCTTCGTTGTTTTTCAACGCATTTTTATTAACTCTGAGATATAAGCTTTTCTTATTATTCTAGAATTTTGGTATAAATTTCATAAAAATCGGACAGCTATATCTTAAAGCTGCCATAGAAGCGATCGGTAAATGTATAAAATATATAAAGCTAGGAATGTAAAACTGTAACTGTCAAACTGTAAACATAATAAGTATAGGTAAAATGTAATGAAACTCTGTTTTGTGAGTGTTTTCAGCATTTAAATCTATAATCTTCGGCACGCCGAAGTTTGTATACCCTTGCAGATTGCAATTGGATCACTAAGAATCGAGCCATTCTGGTTAAATAATTGAAATTATTCGAATTGAATTTCATGAATTTTTAACTGAGTTGTGAACCTTTGAAAATTAGTTTCTTGCTCATTTTTGTTTAAACAATTATTTAAAAATTACAGGTAAGTATTAAAGCAAAACTAAGTAGGCAGTTTTGTTAAGCTTAGAATAACCAACTTAGAACAACTTTCCGAAATGAATTTCATGCATTTTTGACTGAGTTTTGAACCTTTGAAAATTAGTTATTTTTCCCAAAAAAAAAATCGCACCATTTTTGCAAAAATATGTAATTGAGAAAAAATGAAATTGAAAAGAACCCTAAACGTAGTATGCAGTTTTGTTAGGCTTAGAAAAGGCAATTCAGAACAGCTTTCCGAATTGAATTTCATGCATTTGTGACTGAGTTATGAACCTGAAATTAGTTTTGTTTCTGAAAAATTATCAAAATAAATTGCACCCTTTTTTTAAATTTAATTGCAGCAAGCTGCCAGGAACTGAAAGCGGGTGCCGAAGGCGAGGCAGAGAGCGTTGGCAAGGAGGATCAGGACGAGGAGGAGCAGAAGTGGACCAAGTGCCACCAAGACCGAGTCGAAACCACTGGGAACGACCTCCGACATTCCCACATGCCTCACCTTTTCTTCTTTTATTTATTTAAAGCTGAAATAAATAATAAACCTTAAAAAATGTGTTATTTTTGAGTTATGAGGAGGATGCGGTTTTTTTTGGGTGGGATAATTTAAACAGGCTCAATGGAAGGGCATTCTTGCGGTGGAAAATGAAAGAAACATTAAAGCAAAATAGCTAGATGAGCTCACTGACAGTTAGTAAGATGCCATTTTGTCCCATTAATGCAAAATAGCTAGATGAGCAGTTAGTAAGATGCCAGTGTGTCCCAATAATGCAAAATAGCTAGATGAGCATCACTGGCAGTTAGTAAGATGCCATTTTGTCCCATTAATGCAAAATAGCTAGTTGAGCATCACTGATGCAGATGAGCATCACTGATGCAGATGAGCATCACTGATGCAGATGAGCATCACTGATGCAGATGAGCATCACTGATGCAAGTGAGCAAAACTTTTCATTCAAATTGGCCGCTTTCCAAACTGGGGTAACAGGCGAACAGAAATCAGCAGCAAGCAACTGAAAACTGGTATAAACTGTTATAAAAACTTTTGTGCAAAAATAATAATTGGTATAAACTGTTATATTTCATTGTATGCATTTATACCTATTTGTTGCCGACAACAACAGCTTGATGGCAACAACAACCCCTTTACAACAACATCCCTACAGCAGCCCATCCAAATTTTCCGAACATTTCCATGCAAATTGCCCGTTTCCCAAATTGGGGTAACAGGCGAACAGAAATCAGCAGCAAGCAACTGAAAACTGGTATAAAATGTTACAAAAAGTCCAAGTTTCGAACCATTTAGGAGCCGGCGCAAGTAAGCGGAGGCTCAAACCCTTTGAATCTTAATTTAGGTATTATTTTACAACTGCACCTGGGCACACTGAAACTGATCGTCGTTAAATTCAAATTCAAATTTGGCAGTTAAATTCTAATGAAATTTGGCAGTTTAATTCAAATTCAAATGTAGAATTTTTTATAATTTTTTTAGTATTTTAACTGCCAAATTTGAATTTGAATTTAACTGCCAAATTTGAATTTGAATTTAACGACGATCAGTTTCAGTGTGACCAGGTGCAGCTTTAAAATAACTCCTAAATTTGGATTCAAAAGGTTTGAGTCTCCGCTTACTTGCGCCGGCTCCTAAATGGTTCGAAACTTGGACTTTTTATAACAGTTTATACCAGTTTTCAGTTGCTTGCTGCTGATTTCTGTCCGCCTGTTACCCCAATTTGGGAAACGGGCAATTTGCATGGAAATTTTGATGGGCTGCTGTAGGGATGTTGTTGTAAAAAGGTTGTTGTTGCCATCAAGCTGTTGTTGTCGGCAACAAATAGGTATAAATGCATAAAAATGGAATATAACAGTTTATACCAATTATTATATTTGCCCAAAAGTTTTTATAACAGTTTATACCAGTTTTCAGTTGCTTGCTGCTGGTTTCTGTTCGCCTGTTACCCCAGTTTGGAAAGCGGCCAAATTTTAGAAATTTTGCTCACTTGCATCAGTGATGCTCATCTGGCTATATTTTGCAATATTGGGGGCAATAAAATCGGGCTATATGGCAGTGATGCTCATCTAGCTATTTTGCCATATTGGGAGGCTATAAAATCAGGCTTAACGGCAGTGATGCGCATCTAGCTATTTTGCATTATTGGGAGAAAATGGCAGTGATGCTCATCTAGCTATTTTGCATTAAAATGCCATCTCTCTTACTACCAGTGATGCTCATTTCATTGTTCTTATATAGGAAAAATAAAATAAAACAAAATAATATAAAATAATGTATTTCATTGTTTTAATTTAGGTTCATTAACATAGACTAAAATAAAGTATTTTAAAATTAAAATGTTGCTTGTTGTGTTCGTTGCTGTTGTTGTAAAAGTAGCCGGCAGACCTGACTGTCGGTGCTCTCTCCTTATCCCTGATTCCTAATCCCTGTTCCTCAATTCCCATCCCTTATCCACCATCCTTTTGCGTGTGTCGTTGGTTTTTTCTCTTGGTTCTTGGCCGGGGTGGGTGTCAGGTCTACTGATACTGATGACTGTAATTGAAATGAGAAAAATAGCAAATTAAAAACTAAAAAAGGCATAACTCTGTCAAAAATGCCTTTATTTGCATTCGGAAAGCGGTGTTATGTTAGTTTTTATAAGGTTAACCAATACTTATACTTAGTAAGAAATTGAAAATTTTATCAAATTTTGAGAATTTTAATGATGTAACCCCTTATAAAATTTTTAAAAAATTGATTAAAATTTTTTTTTTCCTGACTTAGCCAGAAAGATGCGCCTGTTAATGCTGATCAAGAATATATATGGTTTATGGGGTCGGAAATGACTCCTTCAATGCGTAATGAGCTTCGGACTGGAAATAATATAACCTGCAAGGGTATAAAAATTATAGCTTCGTTGTTTTTCAACGTATGTTTTTTATCTACTCTCGGATATAAGCTTTTTTTATTATTCTAGAATTTTGGTATAAATTTTATAAAAATCGGACAACTATATCATATAGCTGCCATAGAAGCGATCGGTAAATGTATAAAATATATAAAGCTGGGAATGTAAAACTGAAACTGTCAAACTGTAAACATAATAAGTATGGTAAAATTTAATGAAACTCTGTTTTGTGAGTGTTTTCAGCATTTAAATCTATAATATAAACATCGAAACCAATCTGCAAGGGCACACAAACTTCGGCGTGCCGAAGTTAGCTTCCTTTCTTGTAAATTTATAAATTAAGTTGATATAGTTTATAATATAGATTTTAAACCAAATAATGCATTAGTATGTATCTTTAATATATCTCCCAGATCAATTCTTAATGATCGAATTGCAAACTGTTAGGGTATACAAACATTGAAGCATTAGTTATCTATTTTCCTTGCTTAAATCCATTATAATTTCTTTAACGTAAAATGACTAAATTCAATCCACAATATCAATTATCGTATCACTGTATTTTCGCACATGTCTAGTTGATTATGTAATGACACTGACCCTCAAAAAGCCAGGCAATAAGCGAATTCCCCGGCAACACTAAAAATATTGCACATATCACTCGGAACGGTAAACAAAGTCATAATCCGCAGGGCTGCATACCAAGTAACCCCGGAACGTGCCCAGATATGGATCGAATGAGGGTGGAAAAGACCCGAAAAGTCTTTTGGGTTTGGCACTTTTATTGACTTACACAGCTAGAGGCATAAATATTTAATAAATGGAGCGATGCAGGGCATCGGCATCCTCGCCCACTGTAATGTAGGCATCCTGTTCTCCTATGGCTATCAGTTCATCCTCGTCCGGGGGTTGCAAGGTGGTCACATTTGGAGATTCCTCTGCCGCTAGAGTTGATATTTCCACCCGCTGCAAGGGCTGACTGGTGTCTGAGTAGCGATAGACCGAGAAGTAGGTCTGAATGCGCCTAATGATGTTCTCCAAAATCGGCGGAAACTTGTGCTCCACTCCGTCTCCGTAGATCTTTAGGTCCAGCCTGGTTTGGCCACCAGCTTCGGAAATGTGAAACGGAGTGATCTTCAGAGCCTGAAGAATGCCCCGCAGCATTAGAAGATTCTGCCGGTTATTACCACCCTGGCTGGGAGCCTTCCGTAAAAACAGCGAGCCATTAGGCTTAACCTCCAGATAGCCGAACTTCTCCGTATCCATGGGCAGCGCCTGATTGTAGTTCACGCTCTCCTTGATCAGGGTCAACGGAAGAATGGCCGCCTCGAGAAGGGTCGCGGAGAGGAGCCCCAGCACCAGTGTCGTGTAGATGAGCTGCATCTCGACGGCAACGGAGATCCGCTCTGTCCCTGGCCTGCGCTTGCACTAATTTTGGCTTCGCCTTGGCCAACGAACTTATTCCAAGTGCTGCGCTTTTTCCTCATTTCACACACATTTTACCACTTTTTCGTACACATCTTGAGTGTAATTGAGCGCTGTTTGTATTTGCCTTTGTTCGGTTTGGTTAAGCTGTTTCACCTGGCACATGGCCAATATCCAATACCGATAGCCCAAACACCGATCCCAGCTTTGGGACGTGCCCTGAGCAGTCGCTGCGCTTTGGGTTTTGAGCCATTTCAACTGTTTGAGTTACCCATTTGCATTTGTTTGTCAATTTTCTGTTATATATGTGTGTATTATTCTGTTCAGCTGGCACCGAAATTACACGATCTACGACGAGGTTGTTGCCAATATCGCTTCAGTTATCGGGCAGTGAAAGTGTTATATTCCCCAGAGAGGGATTCTCGCACTAACCTGCTATAATGATGATTCATGTTTATATTTTATTATATTTATTATATATCATTAAAGTTAAAGGATCCCTAAAGAGGGTAAAATGTTGTCAAGATCTTTGTTTTGTCTTGGCTTTCTTTTGTGTTATTTTAAGAAGCAGTCTTAAGTAAAGAGCCAGTTAATTAATAAATGAGGTTGTACTGCTTTCAGTTCTGGAATGTATAAGTACTTTAATTAAAGCTAAAATAAACGAAAAGCCTTATGGATTTTAACAACATTTATTTAATGTTAATTCCCTTAAAATTTTTAAATTAACCGTTAACATAATGTTAAATCAAGCTCTTGATATGTTAGTTGGGCAGTCTGGCAGCTCTAAAAAGATATCTAGCAAAGTAAAAAGTAACACCTGGTCACCCTAAAAGTAGAAAACGACTTTTTAAATGTCTTATCATAAAAACAAGTCAAATTACAGCCCGAATAAACTGTTATTTTAAGCCATTTTTGTGGTTTTTAAAATGCTAAAAAAATATATATAAATTCCCCTATAAAAACCCTTAGAAAATACCATAAATTATTTACATTTTACTTATTTACTTAATATTTAAAAAGTTATAAATAAATTCCCCTTCAAACTCGTTTTCAAAAACACCACTAAAACATTTCGTTGATAATTTATTAATTTATTTAGATTGAATTTCATTAAATAGTTAAGGACATTGATATAATGTTGTGTCGCAATTATCATTATTATTTGTGTGTTGCGCGTGTGTTGGTGTGTTGTGTATTGGTTTAGTGCTCGAAATAAGCGGAGTCTCTGACGTACGTAGAGTGACCAAAAAATATCGAAACAAAAGTAATATAAACTAAACAATTAAATTGCTAGGACATGTGTCTGTGTCTGTGTGTGTGCGTGTTGTTGTTTTCGTTGCTGTTTAATAAACATACAATACATATCAAACATAAATCGCGTGGTTTTTAATACAATAAAACTGTTTAGAACTGAAACCTGCGGTTAGGAAACTTTCATCTCATTCGGCGCTTGGCTCGTCGCTTGGTTAAAACTTAAAATAAATAAATAAACATACATTTTTCAATGTGGCAACAATAGTTACAATTGGTTCAGTATTTCTGTAGATTTTTTTGTTTTGTTTTTTTGCTTGGGTTTTCCTTGTTTTCCATTTTTAGTGATTTTGATTTCGTTCTGAAATGCAATTACAAATAATAAGTATCTATACAATCCGATGTGCTGGTCTACTCGCGTGAAGATAAAGCGCAGTTATCCTACATTTTCTTTAGCTAACTCTATCGACTTGAATTTTACAAAATTTGATTTGCTTTTGATTTAGTTTTAGTATAGGATACATCTTCCTTCCGATGCTTCAGCTAGTTTCTCCCATTTCTAATGTAAGGCATTATCTTCTCTTGTGTATCGTTTTAATACATCTGTGTATATATATTCCTTCTCCACTTGTATCCCTCCGATTTGATCCATAATTTCGTTGAATTTGTTTATGGCTAATGTTGGCTTTTCCGCCTTCTCCTCCTCCTGACTCCCGACTCCCTACATCCTGGCACCTGACTCTGACTTACATCAGCTTCTGCTTGGCGCAGTCGGGGCACAGGATGTCGGGTCCGTCGGTGATGAAGCCCCGTCCCACCAGGCTGGCCTTGCAGCTGGCGCACACGAAGCAGTCGTGGTGCCAGTGGCGATCCTCGAACGAGATGAAGCGTGTGCCGCCAATGCCTGTAAAGAAAGGGGTATATTAAAAAGGATTCCTTTGGTAGAAAGTTTTATATTCAACGCACCTGTTATGGGCTTCACACAGGCCGTGCAGCGCTTGGCAAACAGCTCGCCAAAGCACTCGGCACAGTAGGGCTTCTCATCCCGGCTGGTGAATCGCTGGCCAGCTAGCGTGATGTTGCAATGGGTGCAGGTGAAGCACTCGCGATGCCACGGCTCGTTCTTGTAGGTAACACCTCCCGAGGTGATGACCTGAAGGGATACCAAAAAAGATAATTTATTACGAGTACATATAAGAACGTAACTCCACTCACCTTATTGCACTTGATGCAGCGCGTGGCAAACTTCTCCTCGTAGCAGCCGGCGCAGTAGATCTCCTGCTCCCGCGGGATAAAGGACTTGGTGCCGATGGCCGTCTTGCAGACGCAGCAGCAGAAGCAGTTCTCGTGCCATTGCCTGGTTTTGTACTCCATCTTCTTGGTACCTGAAAGTGGAGGAGGAGGTGTTATCAGGTTATCAGGTTAAAATCGAAATCAAAATCAATTTCCGCAATATGGGAACCTTGAACCCTGAACTTTGGCAACCCACTAACCCAGCTCTGGATCTCCGATCAATTCTATTTAGGCAAAAACTCAATTTCAGACAAAATGACAGATTGGGGGCAGCGCAGTGATTGTCTTCCATCCATTTTTCGATATGGAAACAAAAGGAAACTTTCCGTCGTTATGTCGGCCAGACATGCAACTTTTTTCCATTTTTTTTCCATGGCGGGGGCGCCTGTCACGCCTCACCCGAATTTTTTCCGGGGGCTTCGACATTTTCATAACAATTAATGCAGAAATTACGCAAATTTTTGGCTAGTCTTGAAGACAGCAGACATTCGCCGTTTGATTTAGGGCTATGTTCGCTTTGCTAGTCCATATAAACCCTCGAGAACTTTGGTCTAAGCTTCTTTATTGCGTGTTTGAAATGTTTGTGGCCAAAAATAAGCAGACAGGCAAGAGTTAAGGTTTCCCCTTTTCGGTGAGAACAAAGCCCTGCTAGAGCGGGTAATTGAGTGGAAATGTTGACTCTGTCGTCTGAAAATGATTCTTTAATTCACGGTTGCCGAGCAAGACAATCGAGGAAAGTTGGGGCAGGCGCGGGAAAATAAGCTGAGGGAGTTGTTCCATATTGTCTTGGAGCTGTCTCCGCCAAATGTGTCATTAAATTTCACTAGTTGTTAAATAAAATCAGTTATTTGTGCTCTACTTAAGTACAAAACTATATAATTCCTATGAAAATCTAAACAAAGACATATTAGTAAAGCACTTAAAACTCTTATCAATATTCCCATAAATCTTGTGCAAATTATTTAACCATAAATTAAATCATTATTTTCCATAATAGTAAAATAAAAGAACTCAAATCCCGGTCAAACAATTTTGGACACTCGAACGTCTTGTAAATCAAAACATTTCGATTATAGTTTTCTGTTTTATTATTAAAATTTTATGGCTTGTCTTTCTTCATTAGAAACATAAATTAATAGACCCTCGGATGGATTTCTTGTCTGGCCTGTTGCGAGGGTCTCCGTAAATGGCAAATTCATTACTCATCATCATCATCATCATCACCATCACCGATAGCGATGACGACGACGCTATGGACCTGTGGGCGGTTCCTTTCTTCTGGCCAATTTGAATAGTTTTCGGCCAATAATATTGATAAATTATGATGTCTCATCCGTCGTTAATTAAGCACCTTTTGGCTTGGGTTACCTGCTTTGGAGTGGCGCGGATCGCCGAGACGACAATAGTCGCCCAGCTGGCAATAGAAATTGCGATTCTCCTCCACGGCGGAGGCGTTCGGCAGGAACATGCTCAGCACGGCAATGTCCTCGTTGTTATCCTTGGCCTTCTTAATCCGGTCGGCGCCAATGGTCTTGGTCTGCAGGTGAAGGCGCGACTTCATCCTGGAGCTGAGCACATCCACGTCGGTCATGTTCGGGGGCTACTCTTGGTATCGTTGGATTAGAGATCAGGAATGCCAGAGTGTACCCAACTAAATGGCTTCGGTAATTGACTATTTTCCCCTCTAAATCGAGCCCCTTGTATCAGTCATGAAAAATGCAATTTCATTGAACTCTAAACTGCTTTAAGTGGGTCAATTTGTGATCAAAGACGGGGCTATAAATCCACTAAAAACGATCTCTGGAATTAAGCACGAACTTAATTTGGCGACGCCAAGTCTCTCCCTCTCTCTGGTTCCATGACAGATCTGCTATGATCTCAAGGCGTTGTCTCTATGACATCATTTGCCAAATAACAAGTTTCATTAAACTTAGCGAATGCTTATAAATAAAATCCAAAACCAAATTGGTTATAATGGAAATGAAACAACAACTGCCGCAACTGGCTATCATAAATCATTAAATAATTAACTTTTTGTAAGCAGAACAAGGTACAACAAAAATTTCTGAATTTCATGAGCAATTTTGTTTTGTTTAGTTTCTTTTTTTTTTTTTTTTTTTTTTGGTCGAAGCTCGTGCGCAAATTGAAGCAGGAAATTGTCCAAGCTGGAGGCGCACAGGAAGCTCAGAATGGAATCGAATAGATTAGAGCGGAATAATAACCAAAGAAACCCACACAATTGGGAAGATACAATGGTAAGATAGCCGAGGAATGTCGGAGAAATCTCCAATTGGAGTGCTGGATTTTTGGGGCAGATGATGTAAGATTAAGTATTTTGGAAAGAAAAGGGGCTTCTAAATTCTTTAGAGGGGAGTATTTCAGCTAGAGTCTGAACCAAAATCATTCAAATTAAAAGATGATGTAAGATTTTAATGTCTGAACAGGAAATTATAATATTTTATTCCCCAGCTAAGCTCTT